ATGATGAATAAAGTAGGGTCCTTACCCCTTTTATTAGATTCTTAGAAAAGTAAAATATTTGTGCTTAGTATATTTTGCCAGATGTTCCATAGTAATACAAGATTATTGAAATATAAAATCGTACTCTTATGCATATGATTAGGAGTATGATGAGTTATTCTTCTATACTCGAATCAAAATAAGGAAAAACTTTAATGATGATTATGTAGATCTTGAACAAGGTTCCTGGTAAGTCAATTCGATCAACTCATTTTGAGTTATGGATTCATAAGAAAACAAACCTGAGACATTTAGATATTTAGGATTATCTTGTATAGATAAGAATCTTCAAATCACATGAAAAAAAATTAGATTCAAAGATTATTTCTTGATATTTTATTATTTATCCTATTAAAATTCAATGGAATTCATATTTCATTACCTTAATCATAATATGAGGATAGTTGAGTCTAGTAACGTTAGATTCTTAGAATATAATGAATCCATATGAGTGAAAATCTTAAATTGTAGTCTTAATATTAAGAAAATATTGATACTTCTTTATTATTTTATATTTGAGAAGTTATTTTTTCTCAAATCACTAAATGACTTGATGAAAGCGAACAATAAAATAACATTAATGTATTCCCATATAATATTGATATCACTACTAATAATCTTCTCGAATAATTACAATCGATAGTTTTGAGAATATCTCAAAGAAAAAAAAATATACTTTATCATTTTCACAAGTTAAAAAAATTGATGATTATGAAAAATAATATGATGTAATAAAACAATAGTTGAAATTAATATACCAGAATGACATATAAGAACTCATCAAATTACCTAATAATTATAAAAGAGTCTATTATTTATGAGTCTTAAAAACTAAACAGAATTCAATGATGGGCAATATCGAATGATATAAAGTTAGACTTGTGATCAAATAAGTTACTAATAAAGAAGATATCGATCATGATGAGATATTGAAGACTAAGAATCATCATAACATTTGTAGCTTATTATGATCTTGATTTAGGATGTAAAAATAAATTTTCTTAATAGGGATCTAGATTTATATGGATTAACCTAAACAATTTAAAGAAAAAAGAAATAAAATTATATATATAATCTATTTATAACCATAAATGAGCTTCTCGATAATGGTACATAAAGTTTTATAATACTATTATTTTCTTTAGATTTATAAAAAATATTATTAATCAATATTTATATATGAAGGTTAGTGGGAGTTAATTTATTATATTGATCTTATATGTAGATAAAATTTTGCTTGCCAATGGTGAATGTGATTTATTATACGAAACTAAGATATTTCTGACTTAGAATTTTAAGATTGTTGATAAAAATGACGTAGCTAATATTATTGATATTGAGATATTCAGAGATAAATCTCAAGGATTATTATATCTATCTCAAAAAGGATATATTGATCGAATATTGAAGAAATTTAATATACAACTTTATTTAACAAATGATAAAAGTAAAAAAAATTTAATCAAGTGTTTTTAAAATAACATAAAAAAGTATCAAATAAAATAATATATATATATATATAGTTGAAAGTCTATTATATGCTTAAGTCTATACCATACTAGATTTTAGTTTTATATTTAGAATATTAGGTAAATATTAGAGTTACCCATGAATGAAACACTAAAAGACAGTAAAGAAAGTAATAAAATATTTAGAATGGACAAAGGATTATATGTTTATATATATAATTAGATTAGTTTGAAATAATATTATTTTCATATATTGATTTTGTAAATTACCTCGATAATAGATTTTATATTTTTAGAAAGTCTACTTTATATTTTATATTTAGATTAGTTGAAGGGATAATTTAAAAAAATAAAAAAAAATATTATTTTATTATTAATAATAAAACTAATTTTATAATATGCTTTGAGGCCACTAATTAAACTTTATGATTACGAAATTTAAACTTAGGACTTAGTGTAGTCAAACTTAATTATCAAATCGTCGAAGATATTTTGTGACTTTTTGTAGTAGTTTTCTTCTCTAAAAATAGTAAGTTCTCTAGCAAATTTTATATATTATAGTAAAAGCAAATAATGAAAATACAATCTAAAGTATTAGTTAATAGAATTTCACTATATTGATTGTTAATTTATTCACTATACAATACAATCTAAAGTATTTGAAAAGATTGATTAGATTTATGAGTAACCTAAAAGATATTACGATGCAATGGACATTATAATTAATATTTTACTTATATAATTAAAGTTATTTATTTTTATTATCTTATTCATATTTATGTGTATATTATGGTTAAATATAATAATTTGATTATCTTGAGAATACAAATTACCAAGATCATTTTAAATTACATTAGAATAGACTAATAGTGTTATGGTACATAAAAGAAAGTATAATATTGATTACAATCACTATAACTACATTGATAGTAAGACTTAATGCGATATTATTATGTTTAATATATTTATTGATATGTTTTATAAAATTCATATAAATGTGTAAATTTTTATAATTTTAAAATTTTAATTAAATAAAATTATTTTTAAAATTTTATTTTATTTATTTTAATTTCAAATTTTTTACATGTTACCTTATCAAGTGAGAGAATATTAGATTATATAGCTCTATCTAATTAAGATATATTATAAATTTAATTATATTTTAATTATAATTATTAGTTAATAGAAAAGAAGTTCAATTATAATAAGATTCGTTCAAATATAGGATCTCATATAGACTAAATGTGTGATGTGATATTATATTATATGTTGAGAGATTATAAATCTTCTTTCATCTTCTCTTAATTCCTATTCCAAGTTCATCATTTATAATGGTTTTGAAGATAAAAAAGAGATGAGGAAGCAAGTCTAGTTCTCCTTAAGATTAGCATCATTTCTTCTTTTAAAGACAAATAAACTATAATTCTTCTATATATATTCAATGCATCTCTAGAATTTGGTGGGAGAAAAGAAAGATGTGATGAATACATAAGTTGTTTCTAGATTTCTCTCAAGGGATTTTAGTACATAAATTCTTTATGTGAGAGGGTGTATAAAGGGACTGTGTCTGAGTAGAGATAAGTTAGTTGTCTTATAATTAATCTAGCATAGTAAAAATTATATAGATTTCTTGTAATTAATTTCACACAATAAAAATTAAGTTTTTATCTCCCTCATAAACAGAGATACACATCAATTACGAGAATTTGATTTCGTTAGGAGTTAAGCGAAGATAGGCTGGTTTGTGGGACTATTTTATATATATATATATATATATATATATATATAT